CGTCACGTACGAGGGGGAGCACCGGCACGTGCAGCACGTCGTGGCCGTCGATGGGGGCAGCAACGAGGCCATCGTGTTCGAATCTTAGCCGTTGATGCTGGACTATTTTTTTTTTTTTTTTTTTTTTTGAGGGACTCTTTTTTTCTTTTTCTTCTTTCCTCCTTTGTGTAAAAATGCAGAAACGTTAGGATTTAGGAAGTTTGACTTGAAGGTCGCTAGTGGGAATGGAAATTTTGTCGTGTAGTGGTCTTTTCCATTCTCTTCTGTTTTGTGAGTTTTGCTACAAAGATCTAAAATATGGGACCAATAGATGGAACAAATGAGATGTCCACCTCCTATTAGATAATGAGTTAGTCATCATTAATAATGATTAGTTTATTATCTAATAGGAGGGGAACACCTCTCCTGTCACCCTGTTGGTCCCGTATTAGTAATTTTTGTTGTTCGGTTATTGAGTGAATTTATTGCTTGGCCCTGAAGTCCGTCGTTTGTTTGGCGCGGGTGCGTCGGTCAAAGGCGCAGGTGGTGGGGCCCGGGCCCGCTCGATTTTTGTTTGGCTGGCTGCGTTCAGTGGGGGCTGGTGGGATGTGGGCCCATTAGTTTTTTTGGATTGTGGACGCCTGCCTTCGTTGACTGGAGTCGGAGTTAATTGCGGTTTGGGCTTTCCAGTCTTTGCCTGTCGCGCTCACTCACGTGACTTGTCCTGTGTGCTGACGCCGTTTGGTGACTCCTAACGCCGTAAACTACATAAACTATAGTAGAGACTACAGAGAGAGAGAGAGAAAGGGCTGCATCTGTTCTTAACCACTTTTAAACGGCAATCAATATCATAAGAGTAATTGATGAGCGTAATCAAATATAAATCACTGTAGACGCTTCAAATATCAGGGGGATTTAATTGAATGCTAAATTAAGCATGTAAAAGCGATACACGAATGAGTATTAATTATCGACATCATAGTTGATTGACGGAGTATTTTGCCACAAAAGGCACATATGTATGTTTCAATGCGAAACTACTCATAACTGATAATTAGACCACGTCTAGTTTTCCTATAATTAGGACAAAGTCAAAGTAAGGGGCGATCCAAAAAAAAAAAGTCTACTTTGAAGACTAAAATTTTAATTAACTTATTCGCTTATGCATGCTACTCATAACTGATAATTATACAATTTTAATATAACCGATGAAGTAAGTTATAATATTGTTTACATGTGCAAGTTGTAAGGATCGAGGCGAAACTAGATGGATTCACGAACTTTGATGTACAAATTTGCATAGTAAATTATAGACCACGTTATGCTCAAATAAATAAATATACATATACATATATATATATATACCACGTCCTCTTTGGGGACAAGTCAACTAGTTGAAATATACTACATGATGCGCAGTTTTATATATCGCAATAATGCGAAACTTGCTTGTGTTGACTATGGACTATCAGCATAAAATAAGGAATGTAACGTTAACTAGTCATTTTCATAAGTTTTTAAATTCTAATTTGTTTAATTAAGTTCTGTTTGGATGCAGTGTGAAACTTAGCTTTGTTATAAATTTGCTTGTCTTGACAACAACCATCACAAAAGTCTGATGAAGGTAAGGATCAAGTGGTAACCCCTACAATTTTGACCGCTCTCGAGTCTCGATCGATGTTAGCTAACATGTTCCAATATTATTTTTAATCACCCTACTCAAAGCGAAGGGGAAAGTTTTCAACATCTAGGATTAAAAAAGAGAAAATGATTTAAGGACCCAAAATATGGGACCAATGGAGGGGACAGGTGAGGTGTCCCCTCCCTATTGCATAATGAGTTGGCCATGCCAACTTATTATGCAATAGGGAGGGGACACCTCACATGTCCCTTCCCTTGATCCCATATTTTGGGTCCCCGTAGCAACATTCTTAAAAAAGAGCAATATTTTTAAGCCAATCGTCTTCATTCTATCACAAAAATCCGCACCAAAAACTCCTGCATAAGACATTGGTGAAGAGGTCAGCAAATCTCATCTCTTTTGGTCAAAGGTGAAGCCATCTAGATGTGCTTGCGAGCGATGCTATCCAAACTTGGAAGTGTATGTTTTTTTTTTCTAAAAAATATGAGGAATTAATTAAGAAAGGAGTAAAATAATAAGAAGTAGATACAATAATTAATGCCCGATATTAGAATACAAAGTTGGAGGGAAAATGGTGTTTGGACATTGGATCTTCGTATTGTAGGCGCAAGTTGTAGGAGGGATTAAAATAAGTTAAACCCCTCAAAATGAGGGGTTTACTAATACTCCTATGCAGAAGGATTAAAAGCTAACCCCTCTAATTATAAAAAAAATAGTCAAAATACTTGTTATTCATAAACACTAAAATTAATGATCATAATGGCTAAAATTAAACTTATATAACGACCGGGTTAATAATTTTTATTTTTTTGGATTATCGAATGTGCTAACTATGTTAATTCTTCTCCTTAATCCCTCTTCTTTAACCATTTGCCAAACAGGGGTTTAGGACCATAAGGTTTAGGTAGTGGGTAAAATATCCTCTAAATTAACTAATTTGATATGGGTGGCAACAAATCCACTTAGGGGTTGTTTGGTTCGTTTCCTTGATATAGAGAAATACAATTCCATGTAAAGAAACACAAGTTTTGAGTTTTCCAAACTTTTCCAAGAAATAGATTGTTTTGCTTTGGTTCGCACATAAAAAATGGTGGGAAACCAATGTATTTATTTTTATTGTGTTTGGTTCGCATAGAAAAAAAATTCGCACATAAAAAATGGTGGGAAACCAATGTATTTATTTTTATTGTGTTTGGTTCGCATAGAAAAAAAAAGAAAAAACTTTTGTAAACAAAACAGAGAAGGAAAAAATCTGAGGTGGCAGAGTTTTCATCAATTTCACTTGGTTGGGGAAGGAAATCGAAGAGGGGAAAAAATCTTAGTTGGCGGCGATTTCAGCAGAGTTTTCCCTCTTCCATGCGAGCGAACCAAAGCGGCACAAAGAAATGGACGGAAACAAAAAAGCTGACGTGGAGGGCTAAAAATCTGACGTGGAGGGGTTTTCTGAGTTTTCCACCCCTTATAATTGCGAACCAAACAGCCCCTTAAAGAAATATTTCATAGGGATTCTAGATAAGTTTGTAGATGTTGACCAGGAAAGCATTAGGGTTTAAGATATAGTAATACACCAATAATTAATCCTAGATCTAAGTAAGGTGTTTTCCAACTTGAAGTCTATATTAACGTGGAAAAATATCCACAACTGAAGTAGTTGGAAAGTGACAGCACATGTGATGCCGCTGTTTATGAACGGGTGGCGATTTCGTCTTCAGATTTGTTGGTGAGGGAATATATGTTATGCTTGGTTAAATAAATTAAATGGGCATGAAATTTCTCCCACCCGGACGGTCAAATTTAAAAATTTGGAAGTTAATCTTTATTGGCTGGTCAAACATCTAGATATGAAAGCATTAATTTTCGATGTCAACATGATAAAAGAGAGTATGACTAAATAAATGACTCTGCAGCCTAACCATGGCTTACGATTGTCAGTAACAATTTGAGAACTATCTTAAAAAAGGGATTCGGATCTTCTTCACTATCTAAAAAGTAGTGAAGGAACCATTATATAATCACAATCATTAATTATCTAGTTGATGATTATGCTTTTTTCTTTGAGTGTAAATTATGAAGCAGTGCAATACACGGAGCTATGATGAGTGTTAGATTTAGATTGTATCATAATCGCCTACTAAGTAACTAACAATTGAGATTAAAAGTAGTGTTATCTTCACTATTTTTTTGTAATGGAGATGATCCAAATTCCTTAAAAAGGGGAGAGAGACTTAATAAAACCATATCCATATATTCATCATTTTCGTTTTCATTTTCTTTTCTTTTCTTAGAAAAACTAATTATGCACAATCGTGGATCCATATAGCATATATATATATATATACTAGTTGAGATGCACGTGTAATACACGTGATTAAATATCATGATTACTTAAATTGATAAAAATAAAAAAGAAAATAATGTTTTTTTGTGGGATTGTTTGTCAACTCAATAATCTCTCTCTCAAATAAAATATTATTATTGTTTCATTCAACCAAGACTATGGTTACGTGATATACTATTTGTCAGTTATAAATACATTAATTTAGGACAACATCTCTGTTTATTAGTATATTGAAGTCTTCAAAAGATGGGTGATCATTTAATTCGTAAAAAAAAAATTTGCATATGAATTTACTTGCAATATGTCTATTAAACTTTTAGTTGTGGTTTGACTCATATTCTCATTAATTTGTAATTAATTTGTAGTTATAGTTTTACTCATATTTACATTGTCTAATACTTTTATTCAATTTTATAGCTTATTCTCTATACCATAGAAGTAAAATTGACAGTATAAATAATTATTTTCTTGCGAAATTAGAGCAGGAAGATTATGATAGATTGCGCCATGTGCTCTAAATATAAAATTTTATTTTTTTTCTTTGATGCAAGGTCCTTATCAAATCTTGCACCAAACGATGTGTATGAAAAATATTATTATAACTACTTGCCTAGGCCAATTGTATTGTATATGTGGCATATAACTTATCTAGAATATCCGCATCTGCTAAGTGAATTTTGCTGTTATGAAAGCAAAACGTTAGAGGCTCACATTCAAACTTTTTGGTTCTGTAAAAAACACAAGAATTTGGAGAGCACAACTTATATATTGTAAAGAACATACGGGTTCATGAAGAATTTTTCCTAATAACGATATTATTACAACGATATCATTATTCAGTATTAAATTAATTTTATTATATAAGAATTACATAAATCTTTTTAATAAATTATAAAGTATACATATGAAAGTCTCAATGCTTATAGTAGTAGTTGGGCTCTATAAAATAGGTTAACTTTACATTGTAGTTTGCTAATGGTAGTATTATTGGCAATGTAATTACCTTTCCTCTTTATCTTATTATTCACGCTTTTCTGAAGTAAGTTCTCTTTTTTTGCTAATCACTCAATTAGCTATATTTAGTTTTTATAATATCAGAATTTAGAATATTCTCTTCTGGTTAAAAAATATTAACATGATTTTCTTAAAAAATATATACATATAGTAGTAATAGTATATATTCAATTCAACTCAAACATTAGCTTGAAGCCATTTAGAGTAAGGTCCTTTCTATGCTAGAATAGTGATATAGTTATTACACAATCCAAAAGTCAAAGAAGAAATTTCTACAAAGAAAAAGTACTTAAAATGTCAAATTAATAACTAATTTATAAAATATATATGGGCAGGGCAGATAGCTATAGAAAGTAAGGTGTATATCTTTATGAATATTCCATAGTGAGTGACCAACTATAATCATCCTAATTTAAGCATAAATAATTATTATTTTAGTTACTAATTTGACACGCGTAACTATGGAATAAATCTCAAGCCAAAAATAGGAACTGAGATTGTATTATCCTCTAGGTAAATAAATAAATGTTATTAGAGCTCCTCTTTGTATTAAACTTAAAAGTAATAATTTAAATTATTAAGCGCCAATTATTAGTTCATATTAGAAAGTAAAGTAATCTATGGTCTATATACATATATAATCAATCAATCAAACGTATTAAAATTATGATGACTATAATCAAAATTATATGGTGAGTTCACATTAACTATAATTTATAAAATATAGTACATTAAAGAC